GCCATGGGCCCCTGAACTGTCTGCTCCGCCATGGGCCCCTGAACTGTCTGCTCCGCCATGGGCCCCTGAACTGTCTGCTCCGCCATGGGCCCCTGAACTGTCTGCTCCGCCATGGGCCCCTGAACTGTCTGCTCCGCCATGGGCCCCTGAACTGTCTGCTCCGCCATGGGCCCCTGAACTGTCTGCTCCGCCATGGGCCCCTGAACTGTCTGCTCCGCCATGGGCCCCTGAACTGTCTGCTCCGCCATGGGTCTCCTGAACTGTCTGCTCCGCCATGGGCCTCCTGAACTGTCTGTTCCGCCATGGGCCCCTGAACTGTCTGCTCAGCCATGGCCTCCTGAACAGCCTGATCCGCCATGGGTCCCGGAACGGGTACCGCCCTGGAGGCCGTCCGTCCCATGTATGCATGTCCCTAGAGGCCTCCAGAGCGTCCACCCCCCTCCCCCTTGGAAGTTTCTGGGAGGGGGAGGTAATGTCACGCCCTTGGACTGCCCCTGTGTTCCGTGTCTTGTGTTTTGCTCCCTATGTTCTCCCTGTGACCTAGGTTCTCCCTCATGTTGATTGTGTTCAGTGATTTCAGGTGTGTTCCATTGGTTTCCTTGTTTAGTTCCTAGTATTTAAGTCCTGTGTTTTCCTTTGTCCTAGGTCTAGTGTTAAACGTCCTTAGGTTCCTGTGCTACATGTGTTAATAAAGTCTGTGATTTCTGTATTATACGATGTCTCCTCGCTCCGACACAGTAGCAGCAGCACCATGACACATGCAACCTAAAATAATAGAATGATAACTAAAACAAATAATAAAATGAAATAAAACAAAAAATAAAATACAAATTAAAATTAATAATATTAGAATAATAAAAATAAAATTGCCCAATTAAACAGGATCATCTATAGACACAGGCAGAGTCTCCATTCACACACACTGAGGAAAAATGACCTCCCTAACCTGTGTTTTTCACCTTCTCCTCCTCACCTCGTTCTGTCTGTCATGTTTTTAGCTGTTCATCATCAGCTGTAAGTCAGATCCCATCGCTGTTAGTCAGATATTGGGTTTGGTTTGGAGCTGAAACACAGTCATCAGTCTGTCATTCCCCTTTGATCTGAGCGCTGGTTAATGCTTAGGAGTGTTTGACAGGAATGTTTCCGGACAAAAGCTGTTCAGTGAATCAGTTCTTCAGTTCAAGCACAGGCCGGATGAGTTCAGCATCACTGCATCTTTCATATCAAACGGGTTAAACATCAGATGCGAGATAAACTTCAGTCTCATAGAACCTCAGGACATATGTAAATACTATAAAATAGGAAAAAAATATATTTTTTAAAAAAAATTTTCTTTTATTTTATTTATTTTAATTTATTGCAAGTAAAGTTTTTCAATAATTTATGATTTCGTTAACTATACTAACTGATCTAATCCCATCCAGATTCCTCACCATAAATTACTTATAACCACAACAATCAATTAGCCATTAATATTCATTAAAAACTCACAGGCTGTCATTGCAAATACAATTTTTGTTTTACATGTAAATAATTAGCATATAATAAATATATAAAATAAATAATTATTTAAATGGTTAAACAAAGGTGAACAATATTTTGTGTTTCTCTCCAAGTAAATTCAGGTCAGTCATTATCTTTTTAATAATCAGTAAAATACAAAAAATAAATCAGTGCTCAGGAAAGATCATATGGTTTGATTTTGACATTCAACTCAGGACATATGTAAATACTATAAAATAGGAAAAAAATATATATTTTTTAAAAAATTTACTTTTTTTTAAATATAACGAAATTTATTTTATTTATTTTAATTTATTGCAAGTAAAGTTTTTCAATAATTTATGATTTCGTTAACTATACTAACTGATCTAATCCCATCCAGATTCCTCACCATAAATTACTTATAACCACAACAATCAATTAGCCATTAATATTCATTAAAAACTCACAGGCTGTCATTGCAAATACAATTTTTGTTTTACATGTAAATAATTAGCATATAATAAATATATAAAATAAATAATTATTTAAATGGTTAAACAAAGGTGAACAATATTTTGTGTTTCTCTCCAAGTAAATTCAGGTCAGTCATTATCTTTTTAATAATCAGTAAAATACAAAAAATAAATCAGTGCTCAGGAAAGATCATATGGTTTGATTTTGACATTCAATATGAGGAAGCGACATAAAGACAGAATGAACAGAAGATCTGAAACACGCTCTACACACACACCTGAACGCAAACACTTCATCTACACAAACTCGATTTAATGCAGTGTTTGGAAAGGAGTCAAAACTCAACGGATCAAGTGCAGGTTTAACTCTCAGTGTTTGTTCTCACCATAAACCATCTTCATCTACGCTCAGATTTCTCTTTCCGTCATGGCAGAGCAACAGTTTGAAGGGATTCTTGAGCTAGTTAAACTCTTGACATGTTTAGAGCTGTTACCTGAATAATATTAACTGAATAAAATGAATATATAATAATTATAAAATA